ATGGACGTAGTGTCGTATTTGATCTGTGTGGTCCCTCAGAACAGCTTTTCTTGCTTTTATATTAAGTTCCTTTAAATGACTGGTGATACATTTCTCATCCCCCAATTTGTCTCTTCTCCGGATGCAGCATCTGTATTCCTTCAGTTGTACCTATTGTGACAAGTTTTCCAACTCTACCATCCTTCTGTGACATTACCCTCATATGACAACATCCTCCTTCAGATGAGATGCTCCCCACGTGACACACTGCTGTACTCGGGGTGTGAACTCTTTAGAAAATGATTATCCCACTTTAAATATATATTACTAGAGGCCTGGTGCACGACATTTGTGCACTGGAGGGGGGGTGTCCCTCAGCCCGGCCTGCACCTTCTTGCAGTCCAAGACTTCTGAGGGGTCCTTAGTGCTTCTGCAGAGGTGGAAGAGGCTGCCGCGGAGGTGGGAGAGGCTCCTGCCACCCCCACTGCACTTGCCAGCTGTGAGCCTGGCTTCTGGCTGAGCGGCACTCCCCCTGTGGGAGCGCACTGACCACCAGGGGGCAGCTCCTGCATTGAGCATCTGTCCCCTGGTGGTCAGTGCACATCATAGTGACCAGTCGTTCTGCTGTTCGGTCAATTTGTATATTAGGGTTTTATTATCTATAATAATAAAAGTGTAATATGCTAATCAGACTGGACAGCTGAACGACCTTCCGGATGTCCTTCTGGATGACTTTCCAGACCAAACTGGGGCTTCAAGGGCCAAGGCAGCCACCGCAGCTGAGAGGGCCGAGTCCCTTGCACGAATTTCATGCATCGGGCCTCTAGTATAGGATAAGGATGCTTTTGACTGCAAATAGCAACAACAATAAAACAGTGGCAAAAATAATGAGGAAATGATCTCACTTTAAAAGAAAGACTAGAAGATAGGAAATTCCAAAGTTGGTTAATTCAACAGCTCAAACATTTTAGGGCTCTGGGTTGGCTGCTCTGAAATTCCTTGCTTTTCTCCTGATGATGGCAATATAACTGCTAAACTTCCAGGCATCAGATCTTTATATTCAAATAATCTAGCAAGAAGGACTAGAAGAGGCGTCTATGTGGGTTTTCATTTTTACCAGGGGACAAAAATTTTCCTAGAACCACTTCAGCAGAATTCTCCTGATTTGGTGCCAGAACTGGGTCATATGGTCACCCCAGTCTGCAAAGGGAAATGGAAGGGTGAATGTCTGGCTTTGCAGCCAGGAAGAAGGGGTTTGGGAATGGCAGTCAGTGGTGTCTGCCATATAGGTAGAAGCTCCTGGAAGTAGAAAGAGACATGATTGGCCTGTCTCAAAAATATTTTTTATTTATTTTTTTTATTTTTCGCTAAAAGTATTACAAAGGGTATTACATAAGTGTCCTTTTTTCCCCCCCCACCCTTGACAAGCCCCTGCCCTCCCTTACCCCCCAGTGTCTTATGTCCATTAGTTATGGTTATATGGATGCATACAAGTCCTTCGGTTGATCTCTTACTCCCCTCCCTCCTGTCCCCCAACCCTCCCTGACCTTCCCACTGCAGTTCGACAATCAGTTTGAGGCAGCTCTGCCACTGTATTTATTATTGTTCGAAAGTTTGTAATGGTCTTAATTATCCACGAGAGAGTGAGATCATGTGGTATTTTTCCTTCATTGACTGACGTTGTTTCACTTAGAGTAATGCTCTCCAGTTCCATCCATGCGGTTGCAAATGGG